GAGGGGGAGGAGTAGGAGCGGAAAGAGGCTGTCTAGCACTACTATCGCTCCCCCACTCACATGCCATTGCTCTCCCTCTCCCACTCTCGCTATTTTTACGTTTTTTCGTATTTATTCATTTGAAGCTTTTTCGACTTTGGCTGGCAAATTTGCGAATTTGTGCGGGGTAAACGACCGAATGTCCGACACACGATGACTAGGTTAAGGTGAAGGTCAAATTAGCAAAAATGCAAAACAACTAAGCGAAAGAGAGGCAGCGGAACAGACAGAGAGAGAGAGCGAGAGAGACGACAAAGCTGACGGCGCAGTCGCAGCGCACTAACAATAGAAATCAACTTTGTCAGCGGGAATGTTGAGGGGTGGGGGGGGGGGGGTGGAAAGGGGAGGGGGCATAGCCAAAACAAAACAACATAAAAAAAAGAAAAGAAAAGGCGGCGCAGGCAGCAAAAGCCCAAAGAGTAGGAAGAAGAAGAACCTGAAGCGTAGACAAAAGTGGTCAGGCTCTTTTTTTTAGGAATGGAATAGGCATGCCTTTCCAGACAGGAAAGAGAAGGGGGTGGGGGGTTCTTCTTCTTCTGTCTGCTGCGACGATCCTCTTCCTCCTGGAAGACTGGAAGGGAAGGGAAAGGGGAGGGAGAGAGAGAGAGGGATAATCTGTTTGAGAGTGTTTGCCAACACCAAGGCAAAATTTCAAGCTTTCTAACGCTCTCGCTCGCTCCCTCTCCCTCTCTCCTTCTTTCTTTCTCTCTATTATGCGCAACTAGCTAGGCAGCGACGTCGACTGAGGCAGCGGCGGAGGCAGAGGCGATTAAATCGGACGGCGAGACCTTGAACTTGGACTCAGTTTACGAGTTGAAGAATTGGGTTTTGGTTTTGTTTTGAATGGCTATCTCTCTCTCTCACCCTCTCTCAGATACTTGTTATACTTCTATTTGCCACCGCTCCACCTCTCTCTACCTCTAATTGCTTACAATTAGCCTAATGGGCTAATTAACACGCATTAATCAGGTGCCCTACAGGTACGAATGTGTGTGGGGAAATGCAAATGCAAATGGAAAAGCCACGTTATGCCAGTGGGTGGTGCTGGGTGGTCGGTTGCCTTTTGCCTTTTGCGTCTAGCATTTGTCTAGCCACCACACACACACACACACAGATGCACCCCGTGCAATGCACTCGTTGTAATGCTCTCCTTGCCACCCACTCTCTTCTCCTCTCTCTCTCTGTTAGTTTTTACACAGAACTTTCGCTTTCACTACTCTCCGCTCTCTGCGTGTGTGTGTGTTGGCCGTTAGATTTTACATTTGGCCGGCATTCAGAGCTTGGAAAATGGGGGAAAACGGTGGGAAAAGCGGAAAAAGGGGGGAGGTATTTGCAATGTGTGCGATTTGCCATGTGGAAATGTGATGTGGGCGCCACAGCGTCTAGCCGGCAACAAGTGGAAAGTGGAAAATGTGTGGGAGAGGCAAAGGGGGTGGAGGTGCACTGATAACAAAAACGCAGTGAATTCATTTCGTCATGTTTTGCTAGAAATATTAAAAAATTATAATTTATCAGTTTTAGTTATTTCTAGTAATTTTAACTCTGATTTTTAATGATTTAAAATGTTTTTGAATTTTACTATTACTATTCCCTTTTTTTTTTATCACTGTAGAAACTAGGGAAAAGTGGCTGTGGACTGACCTTGTTCAATGCTTTGTAAGCTCTCCTTCTCCCCTCGCACTTTGAAGGAAAAGGGAATATGTGTGTGTGTGTGTGTGTACAACTAACTCGGCTAACCTTGAAAATAGAAACCGCACACAAACACACTTGGCGACAACGATAGGAACAAAAGGCAAAGCAAAATCCACAAGAAATAAGCAAACTTTTGCGGGCAAACACAATAGAAAGAGAAAGCAAGAAGAGCGAGGGGCGGCAAACAAGTTAGCGGGGGTGGTTATAAGTATGGAGCAGATACGGCACACTGATATGATATGATCCAATCGGATCGCCGGGCACACACTCACCCACATCCACACTTCTATTTTCGCAACACTCGCATTATACAATTTAGTTTCCAACTGAACAAACTACTATAATTCTGGGCTGCTCTATCTAATCGCGATTCGCTGCTGCTCTTTTGGCTTTTTTATTTTCTTCTTTTTTTTATTACCTATACAGCGCAGTCAGCCAAATAATTGCTTTTATTTAAACTCAACGCACACATATGTATGCTCACTTTTGGGAGAGTCGAAAAAAAGACTGCAACTTTTTCTAGAACTATTTTGAGAGCGTTAGAAAGAGAGAGCTGGCTAGCGAAATGCGCCAAACAAAAATTTAATAATAATATAGCAAAAAATGTAGTATTTAGCCTTGAAAGTTCGTAAGCACTACGGGTAAAAAGCACACACACTCAAGATCGAGAGACTATATTATGCAGCAATAAATAAGAAGCGAAAGAGGGAGAAAATTTAGCAAATTTAATGCTATTCTCTGTGTTTTTTATTGGTAGTTGAAAGTTCTGGTGAAATGATCTATTGAACCGGGGGTTTCCGTTTTTATTTTATTATTTCTTTCAATCGAATTGATTTTGGTGGGGTGTTGTGGGTTTCTTATTTCACTTAGTTATTAGTTCGTTTTTAGATCTGGTGAAATAGATCAATAGATCATTGAATTTTTAAGGGGGTAGGTAAGCTTTCTCTTAGTTTTCCCCATAATTATTAGTTATTAGTCAGCCGGCATTTGTTTAGCTCTATGCACAAAAATTCGGCACTAGTATTAAAACGAGAGAGAGAGAGAGGGAGAGCACAAAGAACTGAGATCGAGAATATAAAAAATTCGGCGCTGGACTTTTTGTGCAAAAAATGCTTTTTTCGCTTTCAACGTGTGCGTGTGTGTGTGTGTGCTGCGTCTGGGAATTCTACATTCTAAAACGCTTCTCCTTCTCTTTCGCTCCCTATCCTGTTGCTATTGCTATCCTTGTCCAATCCTTTCGACTACAGAGCGTGCGCGCGATCGCTCTCTCTATCCCCGTCTCTCTCTGCCGCCGTAGCGCCCTCTCGCTCTCGCCCACATCCAGACGGTAAAGAACGCACACACAGACGTAGAATTGCCAAAAAATTTTGGGGAATAGTTTCGCCTGTGTTGGTGTGTGGCGAATAATTTTTTTTCGGCTCTGCCTAATGCGCTTTTTGTGTGTGCCGTCGACGTCGACGTCGGCAGAGGGCAGCGGCAGCGACTGAGACTGGCACGGCACTCTCTTCTTCTTTAGCGCGAATTCAGTTGAGTTTCTACGCTTGCAATCATCAAACGCAACAAACACAAAATACACGGAAAATCCGCCATATATCCGATCTAGCGCCGAATAGCCACTATAGCCACTATCATTATCCGCAAGATATCCGCACATCCGCCCGCGGATGATCCTGGATCCGCCATAAACCCCCCCCCCCTCCCGCTCGGGATGACCGAGCTCGGCTCCAAGGGCCATGATGATATCGCTAGTTCAAGATAGTTTAGTTTAGTCACTCGGTTCGGTTCGTTCGGTCGGTCGCTCCCACGAGAATTCGCTTCGTTTTGAGTTCGGTTCGGTTCTTGGTTTTCGGTTCTTGGTCCTCCTCCTGGAAATTCCAGCTTCCAAGCTTCTCAGATTCTTCCCGCAGATTCTAACGGTCTATCCTTCGCGTGTGCCTGTGTGTGTGTGCTTGTGTAGAATTTTTTCTATTTTGTTGAGTGCGAAATATTGCGTATACGAGAAATTGCGTATACGCCAGCAGAATAGTTTCAAACCAAAAGATCGTAAGATTCGAGATTACAAGCTATAAGAACAGCTAAGCCAAGAAGAAGAGTTTGAAATGCAGGGTAGCATCGGATTCCAATCAGAGCGCCAGCTGGAGAAAGGTGAGCCCTCCCCATGCAATTGGAGAATCAGTGGGAATGGGAATCAGAATGGGAATAAAAGCAAGTAATGGGAATGGGAATATGGGATGACGATATCATAGCTTTGGGGTGCTATTTCTGTGCGGACACATCACTCATACGTATCAGCTTGTGGGTTTGGATACATATAGTATATATATATATGGCAAAAAAGTGCAGCGCACACCCGGCGGACTTATCTAATAGTTTTCACTTTCAATGCCGAGCGAAAGCTCGCTGCCTCTGCCGCTGCCTCAGTCGCTCTGTTGCTGAAATCGCTTATCGCGGAATATTCGCAATTTCGCAAACCATTTTGGCGAGAGTGGGACGGGAAATCGTGAGAGCTAGAGAGAGAGAGGGAGCCCCGAAAGTTTTCTGTATTCAAATTAATTTTTTTTGGCTTTTTTCGGTTTTTTTTGCCTTTCTGCAAGATGTCCAGATGGGAACAGAACGACCCCTGTTCCCATACAAGTGTTCTTGGTATATTCGCATTTGTTATAATTCGCTTATATATTTTTGTTGGTTTTTTGTTGTTTTCACTCCTCCCATTTGCGATGCGTTGGCTTTTTCACTCCGTTTTTTATGGCATTTTTTGTTGCTGTTGATTTTTGTTCAGATTTTTTTTCAACGGTTCTGCACTCGTTATAAATTTTTTGCTTGTGCTGCTACTGCTTCTTCTTCTTCTGCCCCTGCGAGTGCTAATTGTCGTCTTGATAGTTTATTTAATTTTGATTCGCGTTGTGTGACATAGAAAATGGGTTTTTGCTTTTTGCTTTCTGCTGCTGCGTCGTCGCCGTGGTTGACATTTTAAACTGCATTTGTTAACAATTTTGAAACATTTCGCATAGTTGCAATGCGAAAGAAACACAGCGGCAGAACAACGGGCGAAATGGAAAAAAAGCCAGAGCGAGCAAAAAACCATTGCAAAGCAGAAACAAATGCACAACTTTCAGCTAGCACGGCACAAATCGGGGAAAAAATATATAACCAAGGCGAACTCTGAACTGCAGTGAACTTAATATAAAAGGGGGGCTACATCAAGGGGTTCCCTGATTTTCCACTCAATTTCTAATTGTCTGCCTTTCCGCTTGCTTTTCTCCTTTCAGTTAAATAATCATTAGTGAATCAAGTCTTCAGCTACCTAAGGAATCGGCAAATAATCAAGAAAAGTAACCGAAGAAGAGAGTCAAGTAAGGAATACCATCCTTCCTTCCAAAACCGGTGGGCCAGGCCGCCAAAAAGCCGTCAAAATACGCAAGAAGGTGACCTCGAAGAAGGCCAGCGTTGTGTCGGTTGACGACGATCACAACAACAACAACACCAGCCACAACAACGACCACAACGCTCGGCAGCCCACAAGCACAATTACACCAATATCAACAACTCCAACACCCATACCAACGCCCATACCAACACCAACGCCCACGCCTGGTGACCCCGAACAACAGGATAGCGTAGAGTACCAGTACCAGTACCAGTACCCCCCCACTACCAATCAGAAACAGCCCATCGAAATGGACGACACACAGCACTTCTGCCTACGCTGGAACAACTACCAGAGCAGCATAACCTCGGCCTTCGAGAATCTGCGGGACGACGAGGCCTTCGTGGACGTAACCCTCGCCTGCGAGGGGCGCAGCATCAAGGCCCACCGCGTCGTCCTCTCCGCCTGCAGTCCCTACTTCCGCGAGCTGCTCAAGGTGAGTGATAGAAATCAAATTTAGTCTATAGTCGTTGGAATAGGTTTCCTGTAACATTTTAACCCTATATGGTATATAGATTCGATGGTAACCCTAGATATTCCAAGGGAAATCTATAACCTATGGTCCCAAATCATTGGATTCGGTTTTTCATCGGGAAAAGATTTTTTCCTGTAATATTGTAACCCTACATGGTATATAGATACGATGGTAACTCTAGATATTTCAAAGGAAATGAATATTTCTGAAATATTGTAACCCTATATATGGTATATAGGTTCCCATATCAAAACTAGGAACAGTCAGGGGTGGTTAAAAAGTACAAATATTATAGGAATATCATACCTTATATTAAGAGCTCTAAAATACAATCTTGTTCCATTTGAAAGTGTAAAAACAACTTTCGCTTCTTTCTGTATTTGGGATGTATATATTTGGAACAAATATACTGAATTCTGGACTCTTCTTATTGTGTAAATACTTTCGCAATTGCATTAACGCATTTACAGTTACAGTTTCAGCGATGATATGGCAGCAATCTGCGTGCGTGTCTATATGTGTGACCCACTTAGCACCCATCGCAAATTTCTCCCTCTTTCTCTCTGTTGTGAGATGTGCGCTTTATCTTTACAGACAGACACATATGTGCAGTATCTTTGGGATACACTTGGGGAAGTGTGTACTACTCTATGTAAAGAGTAAAACCCATAAAAGTTCCGATCCTGATCATTCCACCTCAAAGGAGCCGAGGGAATTACTTAAATACCGCAAAACCACTTCCCGTTTCCGCCGAAATGGGCAAATTGTTACGGCAAAGTTTGTTTAGCCAGCAAGTGGAGAAATAGTTGTGTGCTTTTAGCTAAAATATTATGGAAAGGAGTAAGTTTAGTCGAGAGAAAGGGGAGGGCGATGGCGTTTTGCTAGCATTTTAATTTATTTAGTTGCACACGACGGCAAATAACAGACGAAGTAGAGTAAAAAAGGGCACAAAAGCACGGCAATTGTCGGAAGGAAGAAAGGAAGGAAGGAAGGAAGTGGTGTGTAGACTGTACAGTAAACACACACTATAAGCTCCGGTTGCGGTGCAAATGAGTCGATGGCATGGGACAACAGTACGTATGATTGATTTGTGTGCTTGGATCATGCAACGCACAAGGATCTGTGGTTCGCAACTAGACCACGGAGGAGTGTAAATGTCAGGACCACTCTTCCAACCCCCTTTCTTTCCCTAATCCTTGAACTATCCCCAACTTGGAGTCAAAGTAAACTTGCAACTAATGCAGCCCGACCCGCCCTCCAAAAAAAAAAAAGAAAAAAAGGAGGAGGAAAGAAAGCCCGCAGTTTGCTTCATTATTTTTATTATGACATTAAAATTATGTGAATCGCTGTTGTTGCCGACGACGTTTACGTTTTGCCCGCCAAAAACTTTGCGCTGCCTTTGCCTTTGCCGTTGCCTTTGCTGCATTGAAAATATTTGCACGCAATTGCGGTTTTTGAGCGACAAGGATGGGGCTAGCTAGCCAGTTAGCTAGTTAGAGAGGGACGGGGGATTGTACGGTGGATGGCGACGTTTGCCATTTGCATTGTTCGAGCTGTCATTGAAGACAGCCAGGAGGTCGAGGAGGTCCTGCAGCAGAAATTATATAAATTACAAAGTTCCAGCCCCCAGCCCCAAAAATACAACAAAAAATACAAAAACACCGCCCTCCATTTTCTGTTACTGTCTCTTTCGACATGATTTGTTAACATGATAGAAAACTTGCTGTGCTTTCCGTTATTATTTTCCGTTTTTGTTCCAAATTATGCGCGAGGCCGACAAACAAAAAGAGTGTTTTCAGTTTTCGGTTTTGTTTGGTTTTTGGGAAGAAGAACTGCAATTAGGAGAGAATCGTCGAGGGGGTTCCAGTGCCAATCCCCAGCACTGATTACGCAACGGCTTTTGGGAATGGGAACGGGAACCGAAACAAGAACATGTCAAGAAGTCCCTGGCAAAAGTTTATACCCCCTACTCCACCGAAAAACAAGAATAAGAACAAGAAATTGCGCGAGCAGAAAAAGTCGGCATTTAATTTGTTAAAAAGGCCAACTAAATGCAGCGGGACAAAAACAGCAACGCCAACAAAAGAGGGACCAGACCAGGCCGACTCAATTTTTCTTGAGCTCTTTTTTATTTTGTTTGTGAATTGTAGTTGTAGCTGTAGAATTATGTACCCAAGAAATTAGTATACAAAACTTTGCTGGCTGGCTGACTGGCAGTGCAATGCAAAAATACAAAAAACGTTGCCATCGTACTCTGGCACAAAACTTTGTAAATTCAATTTGAAATACATACAAGTGGGCAGTAGGTGGTGAACAAAAGGAGACAGAGACAGCGGACAGTAGTCAACTGGACAAAATGGACAAAATGGACAACCAGACACTTGGCTCCCTCCCAGAAACAGAAACAGAAACAGAAAAAAGAATCAGAATCAGCAACAGAAACAGAAATACTGGAGTAAAAGACCCAAGCACTTGGCGTCGCAATTGTGCGCGACTTTGCGCCTATGCATAAATATTTAATTAACTGCAGCGCATTATTTTAATTAGGTGTAAAAACTGCCAAACAACAAAAGATATAGCTATAGCTGGCGAGGACAGGAGACTGGAGACCCGGGGGATTCTAGGCTAGAGGTGACTTAATGGCTTCGCTTAATGCTAAAAGCATTTCTGGCTTTTGTGTTCCGGCCAGGCCTCATTAGCATTGGCAAGAGATGATATGATTCGGCATGATATGAGACTAGTTTGCTCTTGAAATCAAGGCAAATTTTTCCCTACTTTCAAAATATGATTTGATCAAGATGAAGAGAATAGTTTGCTCTTGAAAAAGACTAATATTTCTTTATTTCGAGATCGATAGTACAAATGATGCAAGAGATGATATGATATGATCAAGATGAAGAGAATATTTTGCTCTTGAAAAACAAAATCAAGACTAATTTTTCTCTATTTCAAGATCGGATCTTCTTGAAGTTCAAAATCTAGACTACTTTCCCCTAAAAAAACTATAATAATGATATGATTTGCTAGGCCAGCTGCAATGGAGCACAGATCTTTCGATCTCCCGATCTCCTGACGCATTTCTTTCCTCAAATTGACCTCAATTCCACAATCCCCCACAGACATGTACATGCTGGCAATCTTTTAGCGCTAACTCAATCGCAAATATCCAATATGTGTGTGCGTGTGAGAGAGCACATAAATTGCACAAGCCAGTAAATAAGACAAGCACACACGGAATGCAGTAAGTTTGCAGGGTCTCTTTCAGGGCAGAGCAACAAAAGACGAGGCGAGACTTGACCCAATTTCTAGCCAGGCAGCAAAGGCAGAGGAGGAAAAAAACAGAGAAAAACACTGAAACGAAACAGCAACAGCAACTGAAACAGCAGAGGAGCAGCTCCCTTTGTTGGAGTTCCACTTGATAAGTGAAATTCACTGTACACACGCAGCAAAAACTGGAATGCACTGGCCCTGAATGTGTAAAAAAGTGGGATGGGGGATGGATGGTGGCTGGGGGATGAGGATGGGAAGCCACACATGGCACACACAGAGGAAATAAACTGCAGCTGGCGAAAAGCGAATGCGAATGCAAACTTCAAATCGCTCGTTGGCCTGTTGACATTTCCAGCGACAATTGAAGGTTGTCTGGGCCACAGATAATTGCCCAGGCAAACAAACTCTGACTCACCCACTAATCTCACCTTCGATCTCCATATTACAGAGCACACCCTGCAAACACCCGGTCATACTGCTGCAGGATGTCAACTTCATGGACCTGCACTCGCTGGTGGAGTTCATCTACCACGGCGAGGTCAACGTGCACCAAAAGTCCCTGCAGTCCTTCCTCAAGACCGCCGAGGTGCTGCGCGTCTCGGGATTAACGCAACAGCAGGCGGAGGACACACATAGCGTAAGTAACCCACCCATCCCGTACAATATCCAGATATCAAGATGATCTATCCCGAACAGCACCTGGCTCAGATACAGAACTTGGCCAACTCCGGTGGCCGCACGCCCATCAACTCGCACTCCCATCCACATCCGCATCATGGCTCGCTGCACGACGACGGCGGCTCCGCCTCGACCTTGTTCAGCCGCCAGGGAGCCGGCTCGCCGCCGCCGCCGCAATCGGTGGTGCCGTCGGTCCTCCCGCCGCACATCAACAACCAGCTGCTCAAGCGCATGGCCATGATGCATCGCAGCAGTGCCGCCGCCGTCGCCGAGGAGACCTCGCACGCCCTGAAGCGCCTGCGCGGATCGGACAACAACGGAGGACTGCCGCTCTCCGGCGCCGTCGGCAGTGGCGGTAGCAACAACAACAGCCCCGACTTGCCGCCGCTCCATGCGCGCAGCACTTCGCCCCAGCAGACTCCGGCCGACTTTAGTACGATCAAGCACCACAACAACAACAACACGCCGCCGCTCAAGGAGGAGAAGCGTAAGTGTTCGATACCACCCCCGAAAAAAAAATTTAACGTCTTAAAACCCTACTCTCCATCTCTGAAGGGAGGGAATATCGATTCCATTTCATATTCCTAAGATAGAGATAAAGAGACTCTCAATTTCAAGGTCAATTCTTCTCCAAAATCAAAATCAAGAATATTTTTCTCCGAAAAATCTACTGTCTTCTCTACTTTCAAGTTTATCTTATGTTTTATGTTTAACAACCATCCGATTACTCTCGACCCACAGGTAATGGACCCACTGGCAACGGAAACTCTGGCAATGGCAATGGCAACGGAGCGAGCAACGGCAACGGAATCTCCATCAGCGACAAGCTGGGCAGCCTCACACCATCGCCACTCGCACGGGCGGGCGCCGATGACGTCAAGTCGGAGCCCATGGAGCTCGTGTGCTCCAACAACAATGCGAATGCCAATGACGAGCACAGCAACGACTCCACCGGCGAGCACGATGCCAATCGTTCCAGTAGTGGCGACGGCGGCAAGGGTTCTTTGAGGTGGGTTATTCTTTAGAGTCCTTGGATAAGAGCTTGAAAATGATCGATATTTTCGATATTTGCACAATATCGATGCGATAATATCGATCGTTTTTAAATCATTTATGAAGGTGTCTAGGCAGGCAGCGAAAAAAAGTGATTGCATACTTTTAGGCGCATTGAAAAAGGGATTTAAAATTCCTGGATTTAGTTACAACCTACTGACACCCCAAATCCTTTTTGCAGCTCTGGCAACGACGAGGAGATCGGTGACGGACTCGCCTCTCATCACGCCGCCCCGCAGTTCATCATGTCGCCGGCGGAGAACAAGATGTTTCATGCCGCCGCCTTCAACTTCCCCATGAGCAATCTCGATCACTCAGCGTTGCTTGGTGCGTATACGCATTGTGCGTAGCGATCCTACAGAACTAACTAACTAACGCATTTCCTCTCGCTCTCTGTCTCTCTTTCTCATCCTTGCTTTTCCTCTTTGAATACGATTCGAATACGATCCCATGTCACAGGTCTCAACACACAATTGCAGCAGTCCGGTGACCTCGCCGTTTCCCCTCAAGGTGAGTCCGAACATTTCTCTATCCGTACTCTATTGTTCCGCTCTATTTGCGCTCAAAAGCTCATTATTACATTTTTTACATCAAATGCAAATGCAAATGCAAGTACCAGAATAATATATACCAAAAAAAGAGTCTATCCAAGTCAGATACCAGAATACCAAAAGAAATGAAAGGCTAAAAGCAAACGTAAACCAAAAAGTAAAAGAGAATACCAAGAAGAACTAAATCTAAAATCTAAAATCTTAAACATAAAAACCAAAGCCAGAATATAAGTCGAAATTATTTTGAAAAAAAAAACTGCTGAGAGATCATTTTTACTGCCCGTAATATTTGGTTGAATTTTCAAACTACATAGTTTAACGATCCCTAATTTTTGTTGTCGTAACCTTCTTTTCGTTGTCATTATCATTACCGTTTTGTTTTCGTTTCCGTTTTCGTTTCCGTTGTTTTCCTTTGTTTCTTTCGATTTTTGCGTTTCGACTGACTTGAGGACACACACATACATACATACATGTCGCATATGTATGCGTGTCGATCAGGAGCAGGACTTTTGATTTAACTTTCGATTTATTTCCCGTTGGACTCAACTCGAATCCGAATCCGCACCCGAGTCAAAAAAGAAAAAAAGAATAAATAAAAAACTAACTTGATCCTTGGAACCAACGGCAGACCCCAAAAACTGAACCGATCCTAAACCCCCTCCTCCTTAAAAACCCTAAAAAAAAAGAAGAAAAATAAGATAAACTCCGGTTCGTTGCGATTCCAAGTCGAGTTCCCGTCGTAGCCGTATAAAGTGTATAAATTTCTTTCTTGTTTGATTGTTTCGATGGTAAATGTTTTCATTTGTTTCGGTCACACTCACACCCTCACACACGCACATGCCAGAAGAAGAACAGAAGAACCCAGGGAAAGAACCCAAAACCCCCAGCACCCTTAAAGTATTCAACCACCCCCCAGAAACCACACGCATTAAGAGTCGGTTTTCCATGCTTTCCATGCCATTCGTGTACCAAAAAAGCCAAGAGAATATGATGCATAATGAATATAGGGTAATTGCTAAATAAACGGTAGCCGCGAAACTTTGGCAAACACATCCGCTTATTACAAATTCGCCCCCACCGCGACTTTTTGTTTGATGAACTAGGCAAAATTAATTAACTTGCTGCCTTGCAGCAGAGTGTTTAGCGGTTAGGCCGCAACAATTTTCAGCCAGAAAACCAGAGAGTGCTTCATTCAGTTCGCTATGGACTCCCCCGATCACCCCGATCAATCATCCCAAGGCCAGAAACCAAACCAAACCGAATGCCACACACCACAAACATATATGACCTTTTGTGTTTTAATTTTAACCGTTTCTTAACCGTTTCGTTATTTCGACTGCGTAATCCGCTTCCGTTTTTGTTCTGCATCTTATCCGTTTCGTTTCGTTCCATTTTGTGTGCAGATCTTTTGTGTATTCGTAATGAAGAAAAAACAACAAATACCAGCAAAATGTACTACAACAACAGCAACACGCACCCACTCACACAAACAATACACACACACATATATAAACACGCCAATACACTGCCCTTTTACCAATACATGCTTAGAACTCCAAAAAAATAAGCGATCCCAAGCTAGAAAGTATAGTATGTTCTGTTTTTCCCAAAAGATCCCCCTATTTTTTTGTTATTTTAAACAAAACTCAGTAAGGAAAAATTAAGTTTTCAGTTCGATTTGATGCCTTCATTTCAGTAGCGTAGAGTTCCCAGTGAATCCCATTTCGTTGCGTTTTTTCTTAGTTTCTTTCCATTACGTTCCATTCCGTTTTGTGTTCCAAGAATATGGCTTAAAAAAAGAACACTAGACATGAGACACGGGGAGAAAATGCCCCGCAGAGAAGCGAACACCGAGTACATTTTGCAATCGAAATTTTATTGGTGTCAAATTTTAATTTCCATGTAAAACGCAACGCATTTGAAGATCGAATATATACATACCTACATAATATATATATATATATTGAATATTGAAACTCTTTCCTTTATTTGTACGTCGTCGTGCTTGTGTCTAAAACTATGTAAACCCCCAACCCCGAAACCAAAACCAAATTAACCACCCCACCGACCCACCCGTTCCCCCATATTAGCAAAAGTCAAAAGAAAAGCTTTATTTACAACAATTGCATTCGAACGAATTTTCACATTAATTTTCAATGTGTCTTTTGTTAACAACTGTCGAAGCCCCCGCAGCCTGTGATGGAGGGAAAAGCGGTTTTCATTTAGTTTACCAAGTTTACCACCCACCAGTCCAGTCCCCCCGGAAAAAAAACAAACACGACACCCCCCAATATTGCCCCTGGGTCCTGTCTCTCTCTCTCTCTCTTGTCCCCCCAAAAATTCGGCCACACTTTCAGCTTTGAGTACACACTGACCGACCCCCGAATACCCAACCCACAAGAGCCCACAATCAAACACTCACAATCACACCGACAAACCCCACAACATTCCGCTGGTACTCGAAAAACCTTCGATAGTCTAGGCCTAGGCTCAAGACCCCAGAACTCGGCACAGATTGGCATTAGTTCACATATACAAAGTAGGTACAGTACACACCAGGCGCGCGTTTCATTTCGTTTCGTTTCAATCCGATTCGCGACTCTCGGCAGACCAACCCATACGCAATGTGTTCGCACTCGACACCGCACGAAAATACGGCCACACTGCTGCCTCAATTGATTACTTGGCCACGCTAACTCACAGCACGCACACACACTCACTCACTCACACACACAGACATGTAGGACTCACACATACACAGGTTCCCCTTGAAGTGAAATTGAAAATTGAAGAGAGGCGAACCCTTGGCTTTCTGAAATCACAAAAGTCAAAAGGCATCTCCACCTCCACACACTCACTCACACACACATGCATACATCCCCGCCCACCCACACACCGCACACATACACACACATACATGAACTATTTTATGCGCTCCAACACACCAGCTAACAATAAAATGATCACCAGAGGGAACTAACACCAAAGTTGATCGACTAACGCTAATCTTTATTTACTTTCCAATTGTACTAACCGACCAAAATTTAAAATTCCCACCCAAATAATCGTGATATATCGTATATATATATATACCACCTACCCACACACGTATATATATATGATTCCAAAGTATATACATAAATATTGTTAAGAATTGATCGATCTAACCCCCTGTATACGTATATAAATCCGCTTTACTAAACCCCCCTCCCCCCGAAAATGGATTCAAAATCAAAAATACAACCACCGCCCGCCGAGGCGACCAAAGCAGACAACTCGATACATGAAACAATCACACCCACCTTTCTCCTTTCTCCCAAATCCTAAATCCCCACCCAACCACACCAACCACCCACCAGCACTAAAGAACACAAAACTGAGAGAACCCTAAAAACAACAAGGCTTCAAGTATATAAATTTGATTGACAAAACCGCTTTAAATTACGCTCTATATATAAATATATATTTGTTGCTCCTATTTATTAAAAACCAAAGAACACACAAACACACACACAAAACACTGCGAGAAAAGAATGGAGAAATAATCAGAAATCGCAATACCAAGAATAAATTATTCAAAATTCACTAATTTTAAGTTCCGCAATTGGTGACCCAGGCGAAAAATTGAAAATCGAAAAATGTATCCACCACCAATCTATTTAAGTTACCACCTAAGCACACAAACGATTTAAGAACTGTCGATGGTATGGAGGAGTTTACAGATGTGAAGTTATTGAAATAATATTACCGAAAAATAGAAATAAATATGAAATCTCAATCTAAAACCTCCTCCAACCCATCGACAGTCCTAAAAATACAAGTAAAAAAGGACCAAGAGAACAAATTGTAATCTAAGCACAATGTAAATTTGAAGAAATTCTCATAACAATGATTAGAAAAATTATCGAAATTTAAATCGAAACTAGAAATTACCATTAAGATCCGGGAGAGAGATGATGATGATGTTGATGAAGACAAAGGTGATTTGGCAAGGGTTTAATTCTAGTGCTTTTTAAGTGACACACCCACACACACAACCCAGAACCCCCAACAAATACACACACACACACACAGAGACACACTAGGTACGGGAAGTCCAAGAACAACAAGAAAACACGAACAATGAAACAGAAACCGAATAATATGAACTTATGGTGATGGTGTTTTACCAAACACACACACACAAACAAAACACACAGCACCCAGACACACACACACACTCAAACCGATACACCTGCCCTCTTTTTACGTCTGAACTCAAATGCTCTTCCTACTATTTTCCTTCTCCTAATTTGTAAATTACCACACAACACCGCACACTATATGGTAATGAGTTAAACAAAAACCCAACAAACTACAACAAAACAACCCAAAACCAAAACCAATACCAATACCAAAACCAAACAACCCAAAACCAAAACTAGCCAACCAACAAGAACCTCAAACTAAATCTAAACCAAAACCAAATACCAAAACAAAAGAACCCCAAAACAATTTTGCACACGTTGAGTATCGGTAGTGTCCATCATGCGATCAGATCGACATCGATGTCCAGGAAAGAAAGAATCGATTCTGAACTCGAACTCAATCTCAGTCACAGTTTGAGTCGCAGTCACAGTCACGTCAATTCGTGAGCAAAGAACTGAAACTGAAACGTCGACGAACAATCAAAAAAGAAATAAATTTCTCACATTTGCCATGCGAATAGCCAACCGTTTTCTTTTCCACATGCCATCCTCCAAAAAAAAACTCCCCAATATATCCCAAAGAACCCCAAAAACCCACCCTACCATCTTCTTCTCTCCCTCTCTCTCTCTTTCTGTATATCTCTCACTCTCTCTTTCTAATGTCACGCAATCGAAAAATAAATCCAAAGTTAAATTAGCCACTAGCTAAAGCAAAAAAGCTAAAAGCAAGAATGATGCAAACTTACATATTTGATGCAAAAAATGCTAACGAAATTCGTTTTCTGATCAAACATCCGGCAAAATACACACGAAAAAAGCAGAAAAACTGAAAAAATAAATTCAAAAATTCCAAAATCCAAATGAGAAATCACGCAAAATTGAGACAAAAAAAAAGCAAAATAAAAAATAAAAAAACTCGTTGTCCTTGGGCTAATGCGACGTTTTCTGACTTTCTTCCCCACCTTGTCGTCAGGTAAACTGACGACAAATGCTACAACTACTACAACAATAAACAACAACTTGATTACCAACAACAACAACTACGTTTACTCTCTAACAACAAAAACCAACTCCAACTCAAAAACAACTACAACAACTCCATCACCAACAACAACAACTACAACAACTCGACCTACAGCCATCACAAGTGCCTCCGGCATCTGTGGCCTTAATCTCTCCACATTTGCAGCCAACGGGAGCAGCGCCACCAGCGGCGGCGGCAGCAACGGCGGCCTCTCGGTTACCGCCTTGCAGCCGCAACAGATGTCTCACCAACACCAACACCAACAACACCAACAACAGGCGAACAACTCGAGCGGCCAGCAAGCAAATGGGATACTCAGCTGCAGCACTCCCAACCAGCCCAACACGCCCACCACCACCCAGCAGCAGATGTTCGCCGCCGTAATGGCCAACATGGCATCCGCGGCGGCATCCGCATCCGCCTCGACGAGCGGCAGTGCCAACAGCTCGCTGAACAACTCCAACTCGGCCTTGAACACCTCGGGCGGCGGCGGCGGAGGAGGCGGTGGCGGTAACAACAACAACGGCGGCGGCGGTGGTGCAGGCGCAGCCAGCGGTGGCGACGACTTCCGATGCAATCCGTGCAACAAGAATTTAAGCTCACTCACCCGCCTCAAGCGGCACATACAAAACGTACACATGCGCCCCACCAAGGAGCCCGTCTGCAATATCTGCAAGCGCGTCTACAGCTCGTTGAACAGCCTGCGCAACCACAAGAGCATCTACCATCGCAACCTCAAGCAACCGAAGCAGGAGCCAGGCGGAGCTGGCGGCGGTGGAGGAGCCAACAACCAGGCCACTGCCAACAGCTTCTACCATCAGCAGCACCAGCAGCAGCAGCTCAATCATCACTCCTCCTCATAGGGCTTCATGTACTTTGACTATCGCCAGCAGCAGCAGCAGCAGCCGCCGCACCACCACCTGCATCCACATCCACATCCACATCCGCACTCGCATCCGCACCCACATCCGCAACACAGAGGGTTCTCCAGTTGAGGGGGAGCAGGTTTTTGTTAAGTTTGAATCAACTGAATGTCAGCATATGTAGGTGTAAGGCATAGGAACACAGATACACACACAAGACGGTGCTTTTTGTACACATAAATATTAAAGACGAGGATAAAACAGCGGATGAGCACACTCATAAAAATAAAAACAAGAGGGAGAACAGTCTAGGCTAGTTACAATTAGTTGCCTTCGGTAGTTGCTAAGCACAGGATACACAGTTTATACAGAGTAAATCGATAGCCGTTAATAACCCTAAGAAAACCCTCAACCCCCCCTGTAAAGTTTCCAAAAGTTAACCCATTACCATTCCCATTCCCAATCCACTTTCCCATCCAAGTTCACTCTTTGTCGTCAGCTATACAAGTCTTAATACCGTTAAGTAGGAGCTAAAACAGAGGTGCCCGTAGTGAATTCTTCGAAATGGCTTTAACTAAATACAATTTATCCGATGGAGAGCATATTCTGTATACACTGTATACTTATCATAAGGCACAGTTCGTATATATCGATTTCAATGGGGGATATGCAAAGCGTTAGACGTATGAATTATCTCTCTCTAAACGTTACACATTACAAATAATAAAGACCAAGCTGCAGTTTTTTTTACCTTTACGTAGTACATAGATATATAATGTTGAAGAGTTACGATTTATAGATGTAGAAGTTTTACGAGAAGATGAAAAAGAAGAGGAAGAAGAAGTGATGAGCGAAAGGGAGCGACCGACCGAACGACCGACCAATTGCAAAGATCTTTTCTATATTGTACTCTAAAATAGTTATCAAATTCGGAATAGTTAGGGTTAAGAGCACACCAACACACCCAAAACACCCAAACACCCATGCGCACACACACACAAATCACGATGCATATGTATGTCTAGATTAAGAAAAATGTTTACCCATAGTGTACGTTCTTTTTTTTGCATTTTTTTATATATATATAATATATATGTATTTAATGTTAGTTATGCGAATATTGAATAATTATACCGAAATGTTTGACCGGATACTTTGATGAGTAAACCTGTGTTCGTTAATTTTTAGTGCTGCTAAGTAAAGATACATAAGACCTATATGAATACAAGCAAATATATATATATATACACCACACACACCCCCACAAAGCCACACACACACACATCCACAAGCCAATGCAGTTGAGATCCATGTATGATATGAAGCGATTGCGGTTCTGTGCGAAGAACTCCACTTTCTATTCTAATTCAATTCATGATAATTACAATAAACGTCTACACATCAAAGCGATATTTCATTTACCACGCCCCCGATCCCGAGGACACGCCCCCTCTCTCCCCCTCCCACAGCCTCCTTGTTGTATGCATGTCAATCGAGGAGTTATTAAACGGAACCCGTGGGAAACTAACAAAAAAAGAAGGAAAAAAAAACAAATGGAGGAAACTCTGTCTCACTCTCCACCTATCTCTGTCTCACATCATGCACATATTGTCCTAAACTCATATAAGAATACATAACCCTAGATCGTAGTGCTCATGTCATGTGTGCCGAACCGAACCGAACCGAATCGAATCGAATCGAACTCTGACCCCATCACACCCACACCTACGCCGACACTCTCGCACACACTGCCCCTCGGGTCGAGAGCGAACTTCACCTACTTTAAGAACCCAAGAACCCCGCAGAAGCAGTCTCAGAAAGAAAAACCATCAATACTGCTACTACTAACATCCCACATCCAATATCCAATCCCGTAAAATGGAGACCCCAATGCAATGCTAAGTATCTGAATCTGAATCTTAGACCCCCGAACCCTCGAACCAACCCTCGCACACAGCCGAACATTGGAATAAGCCCCCTGTGTGTGACCCAAACCGTTCCCAAGCACTTTTAATCTACCGCACATTTGGTTCTTTTTAACCGAACCCCTAACCACAAACCCCAAAACCCCAATACCCCAAAAACCCCCCAACCAAACCCAATCGAACCCAACACAGGCAACGGTGCTGCTATTGAGTTTGAAAAAAAGAGACACTAGTGACAACCGCAAGAAAAAATTGACAACTTGCAATTAAACAAAATAGAAAAAAACATACCGAAATAACTAAAAAGAAAATATCAAAATAATACTAAACATTTTATATATACAAAACAAATCAATCAGGCCAAACATGTTTCAAAATTTTGCTAAACTTAACAAAAACAATTGAGAAATCACAAAATCAAAATCAAAATCGAAATCGAACGAACGAAAAATTGAACGCAAAACAAAATTGGAAATTGAAGTCGAAATTGAAATTGAAATTGAATCGAAAATCGAGAAATGCGAATCGAATCGAAAAACAAGACAAGACAAATTGGTTTTAAAAGCATCCCACGAAATTCGTGACAAATTATCAACGATCAGAGCACACCCAAAATTGGCAACACCACAAAATTATTCAACAGTTTACAAGGTCGTCCCCAAGGTCGTGGCATTGGCAACTGCAAATGCAACCCTGTGGTTGCAACTGCAACTGCGTTTGCCACCGATCAATCGGGTTGCAACTTTTCGAATTCGAATTCGAAACGAAACGAATCGCCAAATCCAATACGGGTTTACATTCGCATTCGAGCTCGAGTTCGAATTTAAGCCGAGTTCCCCACCACGCGGCATGAAAACTGTGCAATTTCGAGTTCAACAACAACCACCACAACAACAACAACAACAGCTACAGCAACAACAGTCAACAAAAACCGTTTTATTACCATTTTATTTCCATGCGTTTTCCCCAAAAAAAAAACTAAATTAAATCAACAAAAAGGGAATGAAAACCCCCAAAACCGAAATCGAAACCAAGCCGATAATCGAAACTTCGATAATGCGAAAATTGCGCAACGCACTCCGAATTTGAACTCTGACTCGAAAATCCGAGAACAGCAGCGTTTTTTCCAACACAAATTCCAAAAAAAAAAAAGTTCGCAAAAACCAACAAAAATAAGAAATTCACAGAAAAAAGCAAAATATTGAATAAACAGTTTTGAAGCAAAGTTAGCAAATTTACATTGTTTTGAGCCTGGATTTGTTAGTGTGTTATAAAATTAAAACCAAAAATACAGATACAAAAACAGACCACAGAAACAGATTACAGATATACAGACACTGACAGATCTAAACTAACACCACACACAAGAAGAGACCACGAAAGTGAAAACAAGACATGAACAACTACCACTACCACTACTACAACAACTACCACCAAACACCACAAGAAAAAACACCAACAAACAACCAAACCAAATAACAACAAAGTCAAATATACAGAAAAGTCACTATTGTCTCTTTTTTTCTTCTCTTCCTTTTCTAAAATGACCGTCTAGGTGGCAGCACCGGCAGCCTAATTGGTGGCGTCATTGTGCCCGGCGGTGGTAGTGGTGGTGGTGGCACCCCTAGTAATAGTAGTAGCAACAACAACAACAACAACAGCCAACAACAACAAAAAGTAGAGCAACAACAGTCATCACCACACCAACAACTCCTCCAACAACAACAACAACATCATTCCACACCACATACCAACAACAGTCCACAACAACAGCAACTGAAGCAGGAACAACAGCTGAAATCCGGAGGAAGCAGCAAGTCCAGCGATCTGCACATTGCAGCAGGGAGCGAAAGGAGCCTATCGCGATCCTCCCAAGGACTGGCGGAGGCGGGCGGTCACAGTGCCACGCCCTCGCCCTCGCCCATCGCCTACCACAAGCGGGAAAGGGAGCGGGAGAGGGAAAGGGAGCGAGAGCGCGAGAGAGAACGTGAGAGGGAGCGATCGCTGGATCGCGAGCGGGATCTCGAACGCTCCAACGTAGGCGCAGGCGGCGGATCACCACCGCCACCACTGCCCTCGCACCACTCGCACTTCGGCCAGCATCCGCTGTCGCTGCTACCGAGCCACCACCAGCTGCACGCCACCCACCACGAGCTGGCCGCCCACCATGCCCACGCCGCCCACGCCCATGCCGCCCACCATGCCGCCCATGCCCTGGCCCGTGCGGGATCGCCCCTGGAGCACCACCATCTGCTGCACCACCGACGTGCCTCCCTGTCGCCCTCGACTGGCGGCGGAGGCGGAGCAGGAGGAGGCGGCGGCGGTGGAGGAGGTGGCGGCGGCGGACGAGGCGGCGGCGGAGGAGGCGGCGGTCCGGGTAGCAGCCTCCTCTCCTCGGTGCGCGCCCAGGATGTGGCCCAGGCCAACCGGCTGCTCCTGCCCCTGCCCCTGAACGCCTGCCATCGGTGCGACGTCTGCGGCAAGCTGCTGAGCACCAAGCTCACGCTGAAGCGCCACAAGGAGCAGCAGCACCTGCAGCCGCTGAACAATGCCGTCTGCAACCTGTGCCACAAGGTCTTCCGCACGCTGAACTCGCTGAACAACCACAAGAGCATCTACCATCGGCGGCAGAAGAACCATCACTCGTACTTCCATCACGGCGCCGGTGTGGGTCAGGCGGGCAGTCCGGGCAGCCGGCTCCACCAGTCGCTGAGTTCGCTGAGCGCCGCGGCCGCTGCGGCCAACAACAGCGTGAATGTGGGCGTGGGCGGAGCGGGCGGGGCCGGTGGCAATGCCGTGGCTGCCGCAGCGGCGGCGGCAGCTGCAGCCGCCGAGCTCCTGCTCTCGCCCATCGTGGGGGCAGCCGCCGTGGCCGGCGGAACGGCCAGCTCGACGCTCCAGCTGGCGGCGGCCCACCAGGCGCAGCAGCAGCAGCAACAGAACTCGCCGGGCATCGTGAAGCCGTGCATGGACTTCTTATAAGATCAGCAGCAACTCTTGCAGCAGCTGTTCCACGTGGCGCTCAACAACTCCGCGGCGGCAGCGGCGGCTGCAGCGGCAGCAGCTGCGGCGGGTGGTGGTGGCGGAGGATCGGGTGGATCAGGAGCTGGACAGGAGGGATTGAATGGAGGAGGAGCAGCACAGGATTATGGACTGGGAGCCGGAGTGCCTGGAGGGCCAAGTGGCACGCCCACCGTCGATCTCACCCAGCTGGAGCACTCGGCCGGGGGGGGTGGACCCTTCCAGCACCACCTGCCGCCACACCACCTGGCCCACCAGCATCCGATGGCCCACCACAATCCCCACCAGCTGGCCCATCCGCATGCCCATCCGCACCAGCATCCCTACGAACGCATGAATTTACTAGACCAATAAGAGGGGCGCAGGAAAGTATGCTACGAAAGATGATGATCGGACCCACACACAAAGCACTAGAAAAAGCAGGACAACGGAAGGAGGATCTAGCGAAGGATCCAGCGAAGGATCCAGCGAAGGAGGAGGAGCAGAAGAACGAACCGAACGACCGAAAGGAGGAGAAGGACTACTACTACTACTATATACCACATAAACATTTAAATTTCGGATCTCACAGAACGGAAAATTCAAAGACTTTTTCGGCCAGAACAAAAAAGAAAACAAAAAAAAAAAACGAATGGCAAACATCGAGAATAAAGAATAAAGAAAGCGATAAGGAGAGGAAAGGAAGACAAACAAAAAAACATTTTTAGGCAAATGGAAAAACTGTGATTATTTACGACTTGATTATAAAGCAAGCAAAAACAAAGGTCTTTTACGATAAAGCTATATAGCGATATACATACATACAAGCCCACATACGCACACACACTCAGACTCTCAATCAGATCGCGCTGGAAACGAAAGTGGAAATGAATATGGAGCATACATATAAGCATTTTTTTTGCCCATCCCAAATTGGGATGCGAATAGGGTTTGTCACGTTTAAAACTAGAATAGGAGAAAGATTGGAGCCCAGGATAGAAGACTGTTAGCCATGCCACATACAAAAACCACAGCACCCACAACCCCACCACATACCCCATTGAACACGTACCCCTGAGTATTACCCAGATGCCATCGCCATGCCCATCAGAACTGAATCTGATTCCCAGCCGATATAGATGTGGATGTGGATGCAGCCGGGGATCACAATGGATCTGAATCGAACACTTCCCGTCATCTGTACAGCATCCAAGACTATTCTTACCCCCCTCACATATATAAATAACACTCCCACGAACCGAAAAACATACAGCTAATGCATTTTTTTTTGTTTTTTAATATCATTGTAAGATATCAGAGATATATATATATATAACATATGTGTACATTTAGCAGCCACTAAATATTCATCAAATGAGTAGCAAGGTCAATGTAAAAACCACAAGAATGTAAACCTATCCCTAAGTGAATGTGTGTGTAATACGATTTTTTTTACTTATCTACAATTAAAAGCGTTGCTCTTAGGAAAAACCACACACGCGAGCATACATTTGTACATGTATTTGCATAACTATGAATACGAATATGAATATATGAATACGAATATAACTAAGACTATGACTCAGCATAACGCATACACAGCAAAAGCATAAATCCATTTTGAGATGGGAGCAGAAGAAGGGAGATCTAAGATTGTATATAGGTGGAAATAGCACTGACGGGGGATTTATGATTATGATAATGAGAATGAACAGAGTTCTTGCGCGTTTCGAAGCTTGGGGAAAAAAAGAAAAAGAAAACGGGGACCAGGACTGACTAGTTTTAAACTCAACCGAATGAACAGAAGAACGATGAGCGATCATCGATAAAAGTTAGCCGATAGCTGAAAAAATTCGACACTGAACAATGAAATTGTTGGTCCCCAGTTGATATGATATGATATGTTGCCACTTATTATTATAGAACTATGCTTTCCAATTGGCAAACTAACGCGACACTAAACGTATAATCAAAATTAGCGACCAGATTATTGATGGTATAGATTTACTTTGCTTCCAGCACCAACCTTACCTTAATTTGAAGACTGATCATTCGAAGTAGAACTTTGGAAGGGGCGAGGACTAGGACTCTTAGTTCTAGACCTGGGACGACCCGTGGAAGGATTAGTCAGGCAGAGGAACCGCAGAACCGCAGAACCGAACAGAGAACGACATTATTTTTAGGCGTGTGCAATTTCATCTTTGGTTTTGGGTTGGGGTCCCCAAAGTTGGGGATAGCGATAGGAAGGATGGATGGCCTTAGTTAAAAGTCACACCTATAGGACCTATACAACATAGGATATATGTAGAACAGAGAGAGAGAAAGAGAGGGAGGAGGAGGAAAAGAGAGCGAAGAGAGTGGAAACGTTGTGTGCGAGTATAGTCGAATTTTATTTTTTATACAACCTATTATAATTAACTCTTAGTGTAAACTCACCCACGCATAACCTACGAGTATGTATTTTTTTTCTTGCTTCTTTTGGCAAACGAAAAGTCTGAAAAGTTGATTAAGTTGAATCACCACCCACGTTTTGATACCAAAATTCGATTTACATAGCTTATGCACATACGACTATAATAAGTTAACCGTACGTGTCTGTATCTGTATCGATATCTATAAGGAGAACCCTCCGTTTGTTACGCTGGAACACACAAACCCAAGCGATCCCAAATCGCCAGCTGCAATGCCATATATGTAGAGCATCCGAGTGCTGTCCCCAGCTCTCCGATCTCCGACCTCACCCCCAAATGTCACCTCGTTTTTATTATGATTATGATTATATTCAATAAATGTGGAAATGTAAATCCAGACTTATGTATGAGTACTGAATGACAGTCACATAGCAGTTCGCAGTTCGAATAATGTCGAATGTCGCAGCTTCGCACTTTAAATGTCGATTACTTAAAACATGTACTTCTTGCTAACAAACAAACTAACAAAAATAACAAAGTAACAAACTAACAGACATCGCAGATAACAGATAACAGTTCACAAGCCCCAGAGTGTTTGAGAAGGTGCATCATGTGAGTACAGAGCCCAGGTACAGATAAACTCAACTAACTAAACTGAGGACCTAACCAACTAACTAACTAAATAGCATATTGATACTCGAAATAGCAGCAGTAAGACCTCGATAAGCGAGGTATCCTAACAGAAAACCAAAAACCCAAAACCGAGAACTCAGAACTCAGAATACCGATTAAATACCGAATAATCAATAGTAGGTTCGCCTGTTTAAACGTGTGTACGTACTATGACTACTTTTTTTTCCTATTCGTATAGATGTTCCCCCCTAGATCCTAACCACTAACCCCTCCCCTTAAGCCCTTAATCCATTAATTCCTATACCTTTGCCAGTTAAGTGAATGTATGCATACTGAACCGTATTATCCAATGAACCATTAGCTCCAAGCCACATAAAGCTTACAATTACAATTACATTAACAACTACAATTACAATTACAATTACAACTACAATACGCGATATTTAAAATAAACTAAACTACAGTAACAGTAACAGTGCAGTAACTACATGGCTATACGTACATAAGTAAAATAGCAAAAATCCGAGGAGGCAAGAAATACGCATAGAAATAGAACCCAGACTTGGTGTTGAGAGGAGGAAGGATCTCGATGGTCTATATACCATTCCATTCAGCTCCTTTCTACGCTCAGAATCAGAATCAGAATCAGAGAGACAACAAGCCAATACAATAAACAAAATATCTCATATAGTTGCAAACACTCGTACACAAACGCTTGCATACTTATAACGGTAGAAATATAGCCCCATACCAATATCCGTAACACCCAAAGCCACGCCCCCAAAACCGATCGAAGATCAAGCCAATCCAATCAAAAGAGAAAATATAAGAAAATCATGATTAGTATGAAAAGAAAAGCAACAGACAGAAGTTTCCTTTGGCTTTCGAATTGTTTGTTTCTCCCCACTACCCACCCCTCAAAGAAAGCTCGAACTCGAACTAAAACTACAATAAAAGAAACTATTAAGTTTTCCACTCTAGCCTAGTAAGAAATGTACATTTTTGTCTCCTGTACGTTCACTTGTATATAAGCAAGGTGCCAGCACTAGAACTAACCAACCACCAACCACACACACATAGCATATATAATAATAATACGAAGCAAAACTTTGGATAATTAATAATTTTATGTATTTGTGTAAGTGTGTCGAGCAGACAAACTCAAACTCTAAGAAAAGCTATAGCTAAAGCAAAACCAATACCGAAATCCGAACCGAACATGAAGAAAACCCGTTAATTTCGTTATACGTAAAGATCGGAAAAGCAAGTTCATTGAAATCACACACACGCAGACACGCATTCACACACGCAAACACGCACACACACACACTCAGACAGACAGAAGGAAAAACGAAGTATTTTCATAATTAAAAAAACAAAATGATATCGTGTTATTATTTAAATAAATAGAATGTATATAAGTGAACCATTTGTATGTGCCGAGGAATTCTTTTTTAAAACCCCCCATCCCCTGGTTGTCCTGTTGTGCTGTCTTGGAATGGGGAACTTGGAAACTTGGAAACTTGGCTATACGTTCCACTTTGACCCCGACCCTTTGGACCTGAACCCTGTGAACCCCATGAACCCAACTTCCATCTGTGCGAGTGTCTGGTGCTGGGACCACTCATTCAGTTCACTCCACTTCAGTTCATCCGCGTAGAATGTCGTCTAACCTCAGTCATGGTCGCTCTCAGTGTGCCCAGATCGCTATATTAATCCAGCTCCCACCCACAATCCACTACCCACCACCCACTACCCACTACCCACTACCACAAGATAACTGATAACGCTAGTTGTAACCGTAACTGTTAACTGTTAGTCGATAACACGGGCCACTCATCACTGGTGGTGCATTCCCAACCACTCAACCCCAATATCTCAACCCCCCAATTCCCCACACACGATCTCCGGAGTTAAGGAGAGCTCACAAGGTGGTAA